TATGACAATATGTATGGTCTGTATGGTATGTATGGTTACTATGATGGGCATGGAATGTTTCCTATGTAAGGTAGGTATGGTATGTATGGCATGTATGTTTGCTATTGTATGTATGGTAGGTGTGGTAATTATGTTTCATATGTATCGTATGTGTGGTATGTATGATAGGTATGGTATGTATTGTATGCATGGCATCATTGGAATGTATGGTAGGTACGGTAAATATTAAACACATGTAGTGTTGTCAGAGTACACAGGTAGTAAATAGGAAGTAGAAACATAGCACATGTATATATGGCTATAGGTAGCACGTAGGCGTCACGTAGGTACTTTGAGGGAGAATGTGTGCTGCGTAGGTCGCCGAAAAGGTAGCATGTACCTAGTAAATGCGAGGCTGGTAGTCAGAAATGCTGCAAAGACCTAGCAAATGCGAAGCTGGACCTCAGAAATGCTGCCAATAGCTTGCAAATAGAAGGGAAGGGGGGGTGCTACCTGGGGACCCAACCCATTGTGGGGGGTGGGTGGAGAGACGGAGGACGGGACCATATATACTCACACACACACATATTATATATATACATACATACATACATATATATATATATTTATTTACATACGCACACAAACACACACACACACATATATATATATACACGTATGTATATATATATACATATACACATATGTATATATATATATATCATATATTCAGTTAAATTTTAATAATTTCAATTGTATAAAGAATGTTCGAAAGTTCAAATTATATCTTGGTAGGTGCCCCTTGTTTTGCATTTTCACTTTCCCACTGTTTTCCATCAAACCATCCGAATGTTGCGAGGTGCGAAAGGCTGTGGCAGTGTTAAGGCTGCTTCACGGTTTGGAACTACAGCAGCTACAGGTGCTTGTATGGCTGGGGCGGGTCAGAGATGAGGTGTTCCCATGGCAATCTGAAAACTGGAGAAATGATGAATCATATTATTGTACAATCATTATTGACCATCATCAACCATTATTGATCATTATTAATCATTGTTGATCAATATGTTTTTTAATCATTGTTAAACATGTTTTTTTAAAGTAAATATTACCACCCATTATTAATCACGATTAATGATGATCAATCATTAACCCATTATTATTCATTGTTAGTACTATATCAATGGGAATTCCAGGATCCTAAAATGGAGGTACTGTACCATATAAGACCATATTTTGTGGGGAAATTCCATTATATAGGCCTTATACATGGCAGGTACTGTACCTCCAATTTAGGTTCCTGAAATGGCCATTGACGACAAATGACCACAGGCCTGTTTAGGGTTACAAAGGCTGCCGTGATCCTGTGGACTTTGGAAGCACCCAGATGGATAATCCTGAGTTTGATACTGTAGGTCAATGATGGATGATCATGTTTGATCAATGAACTTTATCAATGAACCTTAGCAAATGGTCGGTTTTCCTGGTTTTTCTCCCTCGCGGCAAACGTCGCACATGGGATGATGATCCCCCGCTCAGATTGGGTAGATGCCCCACTGAGTTACTATCCATCCGTCAACTGGGCTGCAATCACCACTTAAACAGTCAATCCACCAACCAGCCAACCACCAACTATAGATTCTATAGATCATTTTGCACCACCGAATATTCATAGTTGATGAATTGTTCATATTTTTGTCCACCAAATCCTTGTAGGTTTTCTAGCCACCCTCATGGCTCCCCGGTTGAATTATTCCAGGTGAACATCAACACCGTGATCAACGAGTTGCAACAGCTCACTGCGAACCCACAGACAGACTCACGCCTGGGTCGTGTGGGCAGATGACGAGTACAGCCCGCGGTGCGGATAGGAAGTGGCAACCATGAATATTCATAATTATATGAAATCATATGAAAATACATAGAATACATCCAATTCATTATGATTTGCATCATGTACAAGCACACTAATTATCAGATAAATATATCAAAACTATATCTAAGATTCCTGATTTAGATGTTATATGATGTAGCAGGGGTTGTGTTTGATTCTGATTGGAAGAAAGCTCAGACATTGTCTCGGACATCATGTTTAAAAACCAGCCATGTGACGTAGACCTGTGCAGACGACAGAAGATTCGCGCTGGAGCAAAAGCAGGATCCAAGCTGTTAGCCTTACCGGGCCTTGCAGTGGAAAGGATGGTCCACTCATTGGCCCAAAAATAGGCCCTCAAACAGCGGAAGTCAGTGTCCTCCTTTTCCGCTGAGTGGAGCTGTATCTTCCTCGCCTTTAGCTCCGCTGAACTCCTTTTTTGAAGGCGATGAAGAGAGAGTTTCCAAACTTTCAAACCCTGCCAGGCAGCCTTGAAATATCGAACAATCATCTGAGGATAACATAGGATAACATGATATAACATGATGTGGCGTGCGTTGGCTGTGGTGACTAGGCCCTAGTGCCACATGTTTAAGGGTGACAAAACAATGCAAAAGGGGGGATTTGAAGTACACGCTCGAAATTTCAACCGAAATTGGATCCTTTTGGATCCTTTTGGTCCCATCTCCATCCAGGAGCAAACATCTATGGCACTATGGGAGCCCATTTTTCATGTTCCATCTTCATTTGTAAACGTGCAAACGCTTGCAGGCGCACACGACGAATCTCCGTCCCGACGAGCTGAGCTTAGTGCCGCTGTGGACTGGTGCCAAGCTGTTGATAGCCCCTGGTAATTTAACGCCACACCGCTACGGAAAATAGATGAACATAGCCCATTTATAGATGGTTTACTTATTAGAAATGACGATTTTCGATAGCTGTGTTAAAGTACCAGAGGGTAGATGTGGTCAAACACGAACACACACATGCATCCATCCATCCATCCATCCATCCATCCATCCATCCATACATACATACATAGATACATAGATACATAGATACATACATACATACATACATAGATACATAGGATGAAATCGGACGATGTAGAGTTCTATTCAGTGAAGGTGCCCATGAATTTTTATGGATATTCAATGATATTGAATGACATCTATGTACCTACCGAATGAAGTTGTAATGTAATGAAACTGTATAGTTTTTCTTCCTAACATCATGTAGGAGAGGTAATATGGTTGCCCTAAGTTTGGTCCTAAACTTTACGCACATAGCGTCATATTTTTTGGTGACATGGTCAAAAGTTGGCTTAGTTTTTCAAAAACCATTATATACCAATATTCGGGGATGGTCACGATCTCATTTTTATCTGGTTGTTCGTTGACCAATCCCATCATATCGTGTCAAAGTTGACTATGGCACTTTTCTAACGATCTCACTGACGTCACTGAAATGATGCTTCCGATGGGGCTAACGATCCCGGAAAGTCACCCCAAAAAATGGGGAATGGGAAGTACTGTGAAGAATTTCTGATTCCCGACACGTAGACTGCGGCCCCAAACGGTAGCCAGGTTGGAATAACAAAAATGCTGAATTCTTGGAATGGGGAAAACACACACACACATATATATATATATATCATAATGTAAGTCTAGTTCATGGGGTATGATATAAACATGGGTAACTCCCATTCAATCCCCTTATTCCTAGCTGTCAAAAGACACTTCTCTTTTTTTTCCAGGTCGTGTCCTGCACCAGTGCCTTGAATGGCATGAAGAAGTGCCGAAACCCATGGAGCCCGGGGCGCCCAGGGCGGATATAGATCAACAAAGTATGGGAATATGTTCCTGTGAAATGATTGATTAATGATGGATGTGCGGGGGTGTACCGGTTGTACTGATTGGGTTTACGCAATAGAGATTCTCAGAGTCCACCAGCCAGCAGAAGGATGCAGAAGGGTATGCGAAAAGGTGTGAGGCACCGCCAGTACTCATCGTTGTGCGACTTTGGCGACCGTTTTGCCATGCTTTGGCTTCGGTATGCTGAGCTAGAGTCGGCTAGACTTCTTTTTGAAACTGATTTCAATTTTGCCCCAGGGAGGAAATTGAATCAAGTGAATCAAACAAATTGGCCAGTGGTTGTTGCAAGTTTCATGCTTTATCCTCATGATATATTCATAAGACATTTAGAAGCTTAAACATAGCCATAACTTGGTAGGCGTTGTGCAACCCGAACGGTTCACCTTTGAGACACTGCGGGCACTTTCCAAGATTGGATGAACATGTCACTGGTATACCAATGCAGCAGTGTCAGTTAAATCTTCAAGTGTCCAAAGCCGGTGAGGTTTCTAGATCAGCAGGTTGAAGGATTGCCTCCTCCCCCCACCTGTCTGCACCTTTGAGGGCTGTCCATTATTATTATTTTCTTCAACATCCGTTGATTCGTAAGGTCATGCGGTGGAGTTTGGGTTGCCCAAAGTGGGGGAGGATGGTGACCGGATGGTGATGGGTTAGGACGCTTAGGGTATGTTAGATTATGTTAGGGTCATCAATGGGTTGGCATACAGCCATTAGTTGTGGCTTTATATCCACTGATATCCACTGATTAAATGGACCTACCCCAACTGAAAGATGCTTCGCTACACGGGACTGAGGGGACAGGTATGTGGGGCCGGTGCCGTGACCGGTGGCGTATTGTCCCATCATCTTCTAGTTGAGTCTTCAGGGACCCAAAAAGTCACATTTGTGGGTGTAATAGGCTGTTAGCTTTGCATAGCAAAGCTATTCCAGGTGCTGTGAATTTTTGCACATGCTCTTCAAGATTTGCAATGATGCGAGTGATGTCAAAATCGATGGGTGGATTGGTTCCGTGTTGATTCTCTAGCTGCATCATATTATCATAGGGGGGGCACACTTTCCGACCCAGAACCTTACAGATTTCCGGTCATTTCAGGGTATTCCAGGATCCCTTGATGGAAGTGGCCTAGGCTCAGTTCGGCCTGCCTTCACAGGGGATATCCCAAGGATGGCAACTCTAATAGACAAAATGATGTTGGAAAGTTAAATGGTTAAACTCTGAGGATTTTGATTGATGTTGTCTCTTTTTGAGGGTTCCAAAAAATGAGATCCACTTCATGCCACCTGGAACATCCGCTGAACATGCGCTCTTCAGAGGCTCAAAAGCCAATCACTCCCGCCAAAAGGCGTGGAATAATTCAGCCCATGCAGTGCTTCATGAGCAGGCCATGTTGGCTTGGTGTTTTGATCGCAACAAGTGGGTTGTCAAGCAAACTGTGATACCCCAAGTTCTTTCCACGTCACTGGGGGTATCACAGTTTTCTAAACCCATGGGATTTTGGGGTGCCCATGGTTGCCCTTTAAACAGGGACCGACTTCTTGGCCCAGGTTGGTTGGTTGCAATGTCTTCATGCTGGCGAAGCCGAGCCCAATATGGCGCATGGCAAAGCATGGACACCTCAGGGGGCTCTACCCCAGCAGCTCGATATCTTCACGCTGCAGTCTTTGAGGATCCGGCCCCTTTTTAGATGAGCGATGACATCGATGACATGACAACTCCACCATTTGTTGGTGGCCGGGGAACTTTGCGGAGGTAAATGTTTAACACAGAGATGTAACATGATGTAACCAACCGATCCAACCGTCACTTCTTTCAGCTTTTGATCATTGCCCTGCAGGACAGGGACAAAACCATGCTGGTCTTCGGAGGTCGAGACACTCCAACTTCAACACCAGTATCTCGGCTCTTTGGGCTGGTTTTTTCCGGAGGAAACAAAGGATACCTTTTTGAAATGCTCTGAAAATCTCCAGAAAATATGGGTTTCCATGGGTCTTCCTGCAATTCATCTTTGACGCGATTCTGGGCTGTTGAGACTTCCCGGATCCAGTGGCATCCCTCGGCCACATTTCCATCAGCCGTGTTCATAGTTCCATTCAAAAGCCCTATTGATGATTAGTGAATGGTAATGTCAACCCTGGATTAATAAACCCCTAGGCTGCTAGGCTGTTTAATTGGGAGGGTACCATTTAAGTATCAGATTATGACTATTGGAGGAGGTTGACATTAGCCAATATACCAGGCCGAACATCATAATCTGAAGCAGCCAGTCATGGGGGATTCCATCAGATCACCGAAGGGGGGGGTTGGTCAAAGAAAAGAAGTAATTGCTATGCATTCTTGATTGGCTATTAACGTAAGTTAATGATAAAAAATACGCTTACTAAAAACGATTGATATTGTAACTTAGTAACTATTGGCTATTTATACAACACCAGGACAATTTTTTTTCCTCTTGACTAGCTATTCCAACCCTCTCCCCTTAGACTCCTGGCAAGTTGCATATGGATGACATGGCGGATCGCGGATCAGCTGGTTTGCTTTAAAAGAATTTAGTTAATTTAGTTTATTCCGACTTGAAATACGATCCGCCACTGAGGATAATTGATCCGCGGCTGAGGATGATGATATGAATAAGGTACTAAACGGGAAACAACTTTCTTCCTCCTGACGTATCTATAGATTCTATAGATATAACATAGATATAACTATTGAAATTTAACTTAGTAATTATTGTAACTATTGCTATTATCTATAGATTCTATAGATATATCTATTGCCTTGTAATTTAACTTAGTAATATCTATTGGTATCTGCTATTATGACAAGGCAAGCCTCGCCCAGGCTCTGGAGGTTTGGCAGTACTACCGCGTCAACAATGCGTGCCTGGGTGGTGCCTAAAAATACCATGTTTGATGAACGGTTGAATATCAAACATTATTAGAATCATGAGAACACATGAATATAATCTAAATAAATATATAAATATATATATATATATACTTACTTAATTATATATACATATGTGTGTGTGAATATTCTGAATATATGAGGCATTGTGGGTAACACTGGGTAGCTTGGATAGTGGGACCATCCTTAAGTTCTCACCAAGTTCTTCAGCCACCAGGTGGCAGACGAAATGGACAGACCAAGGAGGCAGCGGGACGGTGCCTCCGGCGCTGTATATGCACGCTGCGGCTGCTCGGTGATGGTTCGGAGAGCACTTTGAGGTTACTATTGCTGTGTATCATAGCTGTCTTTTTATGTTTTTTTCATCATATATACAAAGATACAATCATGTACCATGTACATAAATATGCTAGCGGGGGGAAAACCGGACCTTATTTTTACTGCTTTTTTGTTGATGCACTTGCAAACCATGTTGATGGGGGTGGGGCGGGGTGGGATGGGGTGGGGGGGGTATTAACATTCACGTAGACTCTAAGCAGAAACGACTGCGTTGATGTCAGGCACTGACATATAGCAACATATTACGTGATGGATTTTGTGTTGGCATAGATGTAATGTGATACGTCATGGGAACATGGGGTGGGGTGGGGTGGGGGGGTGTCTTAACGTTCATGTAGACCCTAAGCTGAACCGAATGCGTTTGTGGAAAAGATGTTACATGTTACGTTAAGTTGTTTGTGTTAACCGAGTAAAGATGTTGCATGTTACATTATGGGATATGGCTGGAGTCAGGACAGATGCTACATGATACGTTAAGTTGTTTGTGTTGACCGAGTAAAGATGTTACATGTTACGTCATGGAATATGGCTGGAGGTAGGACAGATTCTACATGATACGTTAAGTTGTTTGTGTTGACCGAGTAAAGATGTTACATGTTACGTCATGGAATATGGCTGGAGGTAGGACAGATTCTACATGATACGTTAAGTTGTTTGTGTTGACAGAGTAAAGATGGCACATGTTACGTCAAGTTGTTTGTGTTGACCGAATAAAGATGTTACATGTTACGTCATGGAATATGGCTGGAGGTAGGACAGATGCTACATGATACGTTAAGGTGTTTGTGTTGACAGAGTAAAGATGGCACATGTTACGTCAAGTTGTTTGTTTTGACCGAGTAAAGATGGACTTGCAAAGGCCCAAGGCCAAACCCGTTGCTGATCCAATACGCGCATCAGTCGCAATGGCGGTGGGTCCGGAAGAAACACTTGTTTCAGGCTACTGGTCGACAGTTGCACAAAGAAGCCTTTGGATGAAAATTCTCCGAGAAAAAAACATTGGTGAGCAAAGCATGCATATATCATAACAAAATGGCCCAAATCGCAGGTTTTAGACACTTGGAGAAAGGAATTTGATCAGATTCCTTGCAGACATGAAGTTGCAATTCGCATGGCCTTGCCAATACGAAATACACATTCGACTGTAAATTAGGGTCCGGAAAACCCCCCGGACGGTTTCATACTTGTAGTATCGTCATAAATAAATAGTGTTTTGTTAATACGTATATATACGTATATATAATTATATATATATATACATATATATATATTTATACACATGTTATCATAAATACATTTCTATGTACATAAATGTATATTATATATATATATATATATGTGTGTGTGTGTGTCTGTAGAACGCAGCCCATTTGGGTGGAGGCGGGCGCCGCAAGCATTCCATGGGTTAGTGATGCCAAGGCCTGTAGAATTACCCCGAAGGATGATACGGAGAATGACCAGCTACCCATCTATAACAACATCATGACTACCATGTACTATCCATCAAGTTCTTGTGTGATAGCTAACATCATCCCAAATCACCAAAGATTATAAATAGGCACGTGCGTACATACACATGCATGCATATATATATATATATATTTATTATATTATAGACATGTATATATATAATATACATACATTCAACGCTACATACATACAGGCATAGATTCCATGACGAGGTCTACGTGAACAATCTGGTCTTCTTCATCGGTGGGCTGGAGGAGGCTGGCTTCTTCGCTCAGCTCTGGAGTGGCTGGTCGGAACGAAGGCCCTGCAGAAATGTGGGTGTGATCACCAAGATTGGGCACTTTACGTGGCTTCACCGCTGAAAAGGAGCTTTGAAGGGGAATCTTTCCTAGATATCATCTACCAATCTGGTTGGTGGTTTGAAGCGCTCTACATCTCCTGGGGTGGGAGATGATCCCAAAAAAATCCAATTTGGCAGGGTGTGGCTCGCCCCCGACCTGTCCGTGATTCACAACAAGCAACGGCTCCCATAGGTTCCTATTTCTGAAACTTTTGCCCGCTCCTTGTGCGCGGTACCACTGGGAATTTATCTGGAAATATTAGAAGGAAAAAAAGGTCCATCATTTCCAAAGAAAAAAATAATTTCAATTTAAATAGAATATACTTATATATTCTTCCCCAAACAGTGTGCTGGTTGGGTTCTCTTTGCTTACTTACAATGTCCGGTGTTGGATGGTGTGTCCGCCTGCCCGAAATCTTGTTCCCCTTGTCTCCCATTGTCTCCCCGCATGTGTGCCTGTGTTGATGGTGCGTCCGCCTTCCCGAGGTCTTGTCTCCCCTTTTCTCCCTTGTCTCCCATTGTCTCCCCACATGTGTCCCTGTGTTGGATGGTGGGTCCGCCTTCAGAGGGTCTTGTCTCCCCTTGTCTCCAATTGTCTTGGATGGCGTGTCCGCCTTCCCGATAGGTCTTGTCTCCCCTTGTCTCCCATTGTCTCTCATTGTCTGCCTGTTCTTGTTTCCCATTGTCACCCCACATGTGTGCTTGTGTTGGATGGTGTGTCCGCCTTCCCGAGGTCTTGCCTCCCCTTGTCTCCCATTGTCTCCACACATGTGTGCCTGTCTTGGATGGTGCGTCCGCCTCCCGGCGTCTTGTCTTCCCTTGACTCCCCACATGTCTGCCTGCGTTGGCTGATGTGCCCGCCTTCCCGAGGTCTTGTCTGCCCTTGTCTCCTAGTCTTCCCGCATGTGTGCCTGCGTTGGATGCTGTGTCCGCCTTCCCGAGGTCTTGTCTCTCCTTGTCGTGCATTGTTTTGGTTGGGAACCTGTGATCAGGGCCCGAAGCACCCAAGCGCTTCATGTAGGGACCTCAATATGGATAGAACACGTATCGTCCTGGATGTCGTAGGTCATTTTTCTGCCTGACAGTTCCAGGCCACCCTTTTTATGCATGTTTGAAATATTAGGTTTGGTTTGGTAGATCTTGCCCTAGGTGGGTGCTTTGCAATGCATCTTTAGTCCTTCAAACTGGAGCAGGTGCCGAACATAGTTCCTAATCTGTTCCGT